ATTATTTTTTAAAATTAAATTTATATTTTTATTGAATAAAAATAATATTTTTAAATAAATATATTATTTCGGATCGGTCAAGTTTATATTTTATCTCAAAAAGTCGAGTTAGGTTCGAATCAAGTGGAGGGTATATAGTTTTCGGGTCGGATCGACCAAAACCCGACCCGTGCCATCCCTAGGTATCTGTAACAACCCTAATTAATTGAAATTGATGTTTTGATTTGAGTTTTAAATAAGTTTTACATTCTTTATAATTTAATCCATTGATTTTAAAATTGCAATTAAGGTTCAATTTTACTTGAATGATTTTAAAATTTCAACAATAACCTTATATTGGCTCTAATTATATAATTAAATCATAAAGTTTTTATTTTAAGTTGAATACTAAAACTAATTTAAAATTTTCATTTTAGCCCCTAAAAACCTATTTTGTAATTCATTTCAAACCCTTCTTAACTGAAATTTTCCGTGCTACTATTTTAAGCATGTATAAATTTATTGGAATACTTAAAATGAAGTTATTTTTAGGCTTAATACACTTTTAGGTGTCTAAACTATATTTCAAATTGATTTTTGGTGTATAAAGAATTTTTGTTCAAAATAGGTGCTTAACGTTTTCTCCGTTACACTCTTAGGTGCCTACTATTATATTTTTTGACCTTTTTATATTTTTAATAATAAAAATACTATTTTTTTAAAAAAAGAAGAAATCATAAAAATTAAACTCTCTCCCTACTTCGTCCCTCTCCCTCCCATCTTCCCACCTACGGCGAAGACGATTACCTCTAACTGGATTTTGTTTGGAGCAAGGCGAGTAACTCAATGGTGGTAGATGTATAACACACGGTCAGCTGTAGTCATTAGAATTGTCAGAAAATAATGAAGGAAAACTTAGAAAATTGACGACCCTTAACGGCGTTTTTCATGACAATCAGCGTAGTTTCGTGGTGGGTGTGTAACGCCCCAAAATGTGGGTTAGGAGTTTTGGGTTTGTTCGTTGAGGCCTTATAATAAATTCCCTAACCATGAAGCTTTTGACCCAAGTGGCCTTTGGTTTGGGTTTGAGATTAGCCCAAAATGTATTAAAAAAAGGTTTTTAATATGGACCTAAATGTGGAGGGACTAGAGGAGTGACTATCCCAATTTTTTAATGAAAGGTTGAATACCATTTATGTTGGGTGATCTCACGTCTGCTATGATATCTCTTTTTCCTCACCATTTCTTTGTCTCCTTCCTCCCTTCTCGCTATCATCTTCTTCCCTAAGAAATCAAGCAAAGGTTGGAACCTTAAGCTTCCCTTAAGAATTCTAAGGCAAGATTCTCAATCCTCATCTCCTAAGCTTTCATCTAAACCCTCTTTTAAAATATTTAGCTAAGTTGCCCAAAAACGAGTTTTAGTAGGGGTTTAAGAAACTTGAGTTCTAGCAAGTTTTATGGATTTTTAGTGGTAAGGAGACATTTTTTAGCTTTGTTCCAAGCATTTCAATAAGTTTATAACTCATTTCTTATGTCTTAATTAGTGCAAGAAGGAGAGAGCTCAAAGTCTAGGAGCAAGGAAAAGTTGATCCTTGGGCGATTTGAGAACATTTTTCATTCACCTAGTTTCAAGGTAAGACGTTTCTAACTTGACCATACTGCATGTAGGTCATTGTGTGTGCATTTTGGTATGTTTTTGTTCATGTGAGCATGTTAGAGTATTTCCATGGCAAGATTCGTATTTTTTATATGTAAGCATGAAGTTGATAACTTCTGATCTCTAAGACCTCAAATAAGACTTTAAAAACATTTGCTAGTCTTATGGGAGTGAATGAGTGAGATTTAAGTGTGTTTTCGTGCTAAAAAAAGTACTTTGGTCCGTCAGTATCAAACTGGAAGAACAATATTGATATTGTTCTTCGTGAAAGGCCTAAATAGGCCATTCTGTAAGGGAACTGTTGGGCTCGATCGATCAACCAAAAAAGATGAGTTTTGAAATATTAATGTACATAATTTAATCTCGGTCATCCATTTAGATTCATATATGTATATAAAGCTGATGAATTTTATTTTAAATGAATATATAAAGATATTATTAATTTACATAAAGATATAATCATTAAATGAATTTCATGAATAATTGAAATTAAAATAAAATTATTTATAATAAATGAATAATTAAAATATTAATATACATAATTTAATCTCAATCATCTATTTAGATTCATATATGTATATAAAAATGATGAATTTTATATCATATAAATAAATTCTATCCATTTTATGTATTTTATGATATATAAAAATATGTTTTCATAAAAGTCTATATATCCTATATTATGCTCATAAATAAATTACAAATATATCATTTTATGATGTCAATGCACATATAATATAAAGATGAATGATATAATTATTTTATTAGTATGAGTGGTTATAATATAATATTTGTTCGAAATATTTTCAATAGTTTGATAATGAGTTCTAACACCTTTGTAGATGTTGATTTTAAATTAAGAAATTTTAACAATAATAATAATCTCTTTAACTACTAAAACCACTTCATTAATACATTATACAATTCTATAGCATTCTTGTATAAACAAAATACACTAATTAAGACAAACATGACAGTTATTGATAATTTTATCTATTAATATTAACAAACGGAATTACATAAAATTGCATGAATCAAATAGCCTCCATAATAAATGAAACGTTTTTATTCTTTGAGGATCCATATTTGAGCACCATAGATGTCATTGGTGTAAGAGCTCAATATCAAAAGGTTGAAAGTGTTCTTTGAACATTCATAATACATGTCTTGTACATATCCCAGATTAATTAAAAAAAAAGAAACATTTTTTAAAATACTTTATTCATTAATTATTTTTTTGAGTAATTTATTCATGTAATTATACTTTGATTTGAATGACTAATACAAATATCCATCTCCTTTGTTTTCAATTCCTCTGCACCGCCACTGCAACAGTGAGCAGAGAAGGAAAAAAGAAAGAAAGATAAAAGCGTTGTCGTTCTCTTGCTATTTCATCTCTCCCTCTCTGAACCTCCTCATTGTTCTCTGATCCAGGTAAATCTTTTATCTTTCCTTTTATGTTACTTAAAACTACACCGATCTGTTGATTTTGATGTTTCGCCGATGGTGGAATTGAGATCTAGAATTCTCATACTTTTTATACAGTTAGAGCTGGCTTAATTTTCTTTTCTTTTCTTTTCATCTGGATCTTTGCTTTGCTTGATCTGCTTTCTATAGATCTTGTGAGAATTTTTGTTTGTCTTTATTTTGAAATTGATCTTCCATTTTGTTCTGATTAAAGACTATTGATTTCATCGTGTGAATTTAATGCTTCTCCAAAGTTTTCTTAGTGTAAGAAAAGGCTCTAGTCTTGATATTTGTTTATAATTGATTCGATGTGTTGTCTATGGAGTTGTAGAGCAGCTTGGATTCGATGCTCTTGAAATGAATGTTGCATACCATTTGAATTTACTGTAGTTGATTGCGCTAGTGCGTTGTATATTCTGTATTGAAGAGATTAATGTTGACGTGACTGTTTCTGGCTCTTTTATTTTTTTTAAAAAAGGAGAAAACAGAACTTGATTTGTCCAAGACTTTAATTTGACTTGTTTAGATTATCTGAAGGGGCATAGAATACCCGTTGACTGATTATTTTGTTATATTCACTTATTTCTTTTTGTGGTATTTCAGAAGATGGTCGATACCGAGTATATTCAACCCCTTGTATGTGACAATGGAACTGGAATGGTGAAGGTGACTTGATTCGGAGACCTAAATTATGTTCTCCATTATTGTCTGCTTTATTGTGTTAATGGTATTTTGTTAATCATGCAGGTTGGTTTTGCTGGTGATGATACACCCAGAGTACTGTTTCCTAGTATTGTTGGTCGACCCTCAACACACAAGGGTCATGGTTGGGATGGGACAAAAGATGCCTATGAAGGAGATGAAGCACAATAAAAAAAGGGGTATTCTTACTTTGAAATATCCCATTGAGCATGGTATTGTCAACAACTGGGATGATATGGAAAAGATCTGGCATCATACGTTCTACAATAAGCTCCGTGTTGCTCCTGAGGAGCATCATGTGCTTCTCATATAGGCACCTCTCAGTCCCAAAGCCAATAGATAAAAGATGACTGATATCATGTGTGAGTCCTTTAATGTACCCGCCTTGTATGTTGCTATTCAGACTGTTCTCTCGTTGTATGCCAGTGGTCGTACAACAGGTTTGTTCAATTATAAACCTTATTGAGTTTGACACAATTTTATACATCATTCATGATCAAGCTGAGACATTGGAACATGTATCGTGTTGGATTCTGGTGATGGTGTTTCTCACACCATGCCAATCTATGAAGGGTATGCCTTTCCTCATGCCATCCTCCGTCTAGAACTTGTTAGCCGTGATCTTATTAATGCTCTGATGAAGATTTTTACCGAGAGAGATTACATGTTCACCACCACCGCTAAAAGGGAAATTGTCCGTGACATGAAGGAGAAGCTTGTTTATATTGCAATGGACTACGAGCAGGAATTGGAGACTGCCAAGAGCAGCTCTTCTGTTGAGAAGAACTATGAGTTGCCTGATGTACAAGTCATTACCATTGGAGCCGAGAGGCTTCGTTGTCCAGAAGTCCTCTTCTAGCCATCTCTCATTGGGATGGAAGCTGTTGGAATCCACGAAACTGCTTACAAATCCATCATGAAGTGTGATGTGGGTATTAAGAAGGATCTATATGGTAACATTGTGCTTAGCGGTGGTTCAATTATGTTCTCTGTTATTGCAGACCGTATGAGCAAGGAGATCACTGCCCTTGCTCCAAACAACATGAAGATCAAGGTCGTTGGACCACCAGATAGGAAGTACAGTGTCTGGATTGGAGGATCTATCTTGGCATCTCTCAGCACCTTTCAGCAGGTGAATATTTTCTCATATTTGCCTTGTGTTTTCCTTTGGTCGTCCAAGACTAACATTCTAGATTTACCTGTTGCATCAGATGTGGATTTCCAAGGGCGAGTATGACGAATCTGGTCCATCCATTGTCCACAGGAAATGCTTCTAGGTTTTCAAGTGGTTTGATGGTGAGTTACTGTTAACTTCCTAAAAAGGCTACTTTTAAGGCATTTTTCACTTAAGTTATTGTTTGTTTAAAAGCCCATTTTAGTCATTTTAGGATCATGTAGTTGTATATAGTTGCATTTGTGGTGGTAGTGCTATTTTATTTCTTAATGGTGATTTATGAGAGAAAGGTGCAGTTGTTTGTGGTGTGCAGGGAATAGCAGAAAAAATGACTCTTTAGGAAGTTAAAGCCGTAACATCACACATTGCTGAAGCAGATTGAAATGCCTTGGCATTTTCGACGCAGAAAACTACAAAAAGATACAGCTGTACGAGTACAGCTGGTGCTACACATGAAATGATTGTTGTAACTGCCTGCCAGAGGATCACTGCCACCTGAGGATAAGGTTCACGCTTATGGCGTGATTCTAGGGGTATGAGGGGTATTTTACACCAACAACCTAATCATTACCCTTAGATATTTTTTATTATATATGACACCTAAAGGGAGAGAAGAAATATAACCCAAGAGACACACGCATAGAGTAGAAAAAAAAATCATCTTTTTCCTTTCTTCTTCGTTGGGTTTTTCTCCATTGATCAAGGAGTGACGAGCTAAGCGCCGAGAGGAGCTAGCGAGCTAAGGTGGTTCGTGGTGACCGAGGAGACCTCTAGTGGCGTGCATCGAAGGCTTCTTCTCACTTCCCTTTGCTGCTCTTTTTTCCCATTTATTTGTGGGTTGTTGGAACGAATATTTTCATGACTTTGTGTTTGATATTTCGAACCCCACCATGAACTAACTTATTTGGTGGTGGTTGGTTTTATGGTTGTTTAAACTTTATTTTAATGGTATATTTATGTTTATCTTGGTTATTTGCTTGCTTTGCTTGTGAATACTTCACCATTTAAGCTTGTAAGAGGCATGAGAGTGTCCATTTCTTATATGAAGGTTAGGTGTTCGAGAGAAACCTAAGCTAAAAATACTTGTAGTATTCGAGAGAAACGCAAGACAAGATCCTCATAAGCAATGGGCTATAGTATTTTCAAGGGGCTTTTAACCAGCCTAGGAATACTATAACCTAATCCCTTAGATCTCGAGAGAGACTAGGATAGGATTTCAATGACTAAAAAGGGTGTCTTTATCAATAGGGTAGGCTGACCAACATCGTTGAATGAGAGCAGATGCCTTGGCATCCTATTCTTTTATGTTCCTTTGCGAACACTTTAGGAAAACCCTGACGAGTAAGTGAAGTCCAAAAACTTAAATATACATGAGAGATAAATTTAGCATCCTTAAATCAATCCCTACCATTAATTCCATTGGAAGCTTGTCACGTGAGGATTATCATTTTATTTGTTATTTATTTACTATTTTTACCATTTCTTATTGCCTCGATATTACACCATTTTCAACACTAAACATCTGTTCTTGCCACTGCATTTCCATTCACTACACCATCAAACCATCACTCCATATCCACCTCCATACACTTTTCATTTGCCGTGACATTTATATATATTAAGACTAACTATACATAGATAGATTAGTGCTTTGCTTTGGTTAGACTTTTGTAATTTCACCCAATCCCTGTGGAGACGATACTCACTCATCACTGTATTACTTGAGCGATTGTGTATACTTGCACATTATTTGCGTATAATTTTATAGTACTAATAATACGCAACAAGTTTTTGGCGCCGTTGTCGGGGATTGGCAGTCTGAAGTTATTTAGTTTTGCCAGAGCATTTTATTTTTGCATTTTTATTTGTGTATAGTTTACTTTATATTTTTGTTTTATTATTTTTCAGGTTTATTTAGTTTATGCCTATAAGAAATTCTGAAGAGCCTTTGGAATCGATAGAACCTGAGATTGAAAGACTCTTTAGACAAAGGAGATGTGCTCAACGAGCTCGAGGAATATGTATCAGATTGGAAACCAAGGCATTAGTCAGGATGATGGAAATCAGAATGTCGCGGCATTAGACAATGTTGAACATGTTGGTAGGCTGTGTGTTATTTGTGATCACTTAAATCCGATGCTGGATGATCTGAATCCTGGGATTGTGGCACCCGAAATTCAAGCTGCACATTTCGAGCTGAAACCAGTCATGTTCAATATTTTGAATTCTATTGGGCAGTTTAGGGGTATGCCAAATGAAGATGCCAGGCAGCACATTCGAAATTTTCTGGAAGTCTGTGATTCTTTTCGCCAAGAAAGAGTGCATGAGGATGTTCTGAAATTAAATCTATTTCCATATTCATTTCATGACCGAGCAAGGCTTGGTTAAGTGGTGTACCTTCTGGTTCGATGGAATCGTGGGCTGATCTTTGCAAGAGTTTTTTATTAAGGTACAACCCACCGAACATGAATACGCAACTAAGGAATGATATAGGATCTTTTTCGCCAGGGCGACGACGAATCCATGTATGAGTGTTGGGATCGTTACAAGAGTTTGCTTCGAAAGTGTTAAAATCATGGTTTTCATGAGTGGACTCAAGTAGTCATGTTCTCAATGGAGTCAATGCACCCACGAGGATGTTACTGGATGCCTCGACAAATGGGACATTACTGGATAAATCACCTACTGAGGTGTTTGCTATTGTTGAAAACATTTTTGATATTTCGATATAACAAATTAAGTTAAATGAATTTTAAGATTTTACAAATGATTTTACAATTTTATATTCGATTCAATTAACCGAATATCAAATTATTACTCCAAGTTTTTCAAGATCAATTTTAATCCTTACTAAATGTGTAAAATTGTGATTTGTACTTAAACTATTTTTGAAACAATTTTCACAAAGTATTTTGAACCAAAAACAAGCCTTAAATCAATTATTCAAAGGCATGCACCGATGCATCAGTACATGCATCGATGCATCAATGAATTAATTGAACATCGAATGCATTCCATGCACTGATGCACTCTCCATGCATCGATGCACTCTGAATATTTTCAAAACATCGAATGCATTTGATGCATCGATGCACAAGCCATGCATCGATGCATCAGGCTATTTTTCAAACATCGAATGCATTTCATGCATCGATGCACACTTGGTGCACTGATGCATCAAGTGTTCCAACGGTCAAAATATTTGAATTTTACACGAATGCACCGATGCATACTTGATCATGCATCGATGCATGAAATGCTCCACCTAGAAAAATTAATTGTTTTCACACTTAAACGGCTCTATTATCCCCACTAATTATCACCAACGTTCAGAATTGATTCAAGGGGTATTTAAACAAGTTCTGGAGCCATTGATCAAGAACAAGAAACATCAATCAACTAGAATCAAGAGAGAATCAAAGAGAAAGCATCAAACCTCAAGTTTGAGTATTTCAAGCCTATTTTTCATCCAATATTCATTTGCTTTCAAGAACACTTTTGTACTCAATTGTATTTATCCTTGAGTGTTCTTTTCTTTGTTCTAGAATTGTGCAAACATCTTACCTTGTGAGGTTTTCTTGTAAGTTTGCAAATTTGTAATCTTTTCTTTGGGAAAAAGAGTGTTCTCAAGAGTTGGGGTATACTCTTGAGGGATTTTGTAAGGTTATCTCTTTGGCCTCAAAAGAAAGAACAAATTAGTGAATTTGTTGGAAAATCCTTAGTGTGGATAGCTAAGGTAGTGGACGTAGACTTTGTTTGAGAAAGTCGAACCACTGTAAATCGCTGTGCAATTTCTTTAAATTTTCTGCAAAAGCTTCCACGAAATTTTTAATTGCCAATTCACCCCCCCTCTTGGCCGATTCTGTAGATCGATTAACTCAACAATTGGTATCATAGCCTCACTCATTTGAAGGTTTAATCGCCTCTTGAGTCGATTCGGGAAGAGTTACATCGATTACCAAGTCATCAATGGCCTCCACTTCAAATTACGACTCCGGTCTTGATTCGATGCCCGTCAACAAGCCTCCTTTCTTCAATGGAGCTAATTACGCCTATTGGAAGAATAGAATGATGTACTTCATTCAAGCAAGTGACATGGGAGCATGGAATGCCGTAAAAAGAAGGATACATCAAGCCTATCACTCATCCAAGGTTGTGGAGTGAAGGAGAGACAAGAATGTTCCAGCTCAACTCCAAAGCCATCCATATTATTTTTTGTGCTCTTGGACCAGATGAATACGGAAGAGTTTCATCGTGTACAACTGCCAAAGAAATATGGGACAAGCTTCAAGTCACACATGAAGGTACATATGAGGTAAAGAAATCAAAAATTAGTATTCTAACGCATAGCTATGAAAATTTCAGGATGAAACCAAATGAAGACATCAAAGCTATGACGGATAGATTTTCAACGATTGTCAATGGTCTCAAATCATATGGAGAGATCATCTCAAATGAAAAGCTTGTGAGGAAGTTAGTCTACTCCCTCCCAAAATCATGGCAATCAAAGAAGACGACAATCATCGAGTCTAAGGACCTATCGTCCTTAACTCTTGAAGAACTTATCGGTTCACTCCTCACTCATGAGATGATGCTCGAAGATGAGGTGGACCTTGATAAAGTTAAAGAGACACCAAAGGAAAAGGAGAAGAAGAAAAATATTGGAGTTGCTCTCAAATCCACAAAAGATGAGAGTGATTCTAATAATGATGATGATGACGAGGAAATGGCATTGTTTGCCAAACGGTTCAGAAAAATGATGAGACCTTACCAAGAAGAAAATTCAAACGAAACGAAGGCCTCAAAAATGAACCAAAGAGAAGACCCAATCATTTGCTATGAATGCAAAAAGCGGGGGCATGTCAAATATGATTGCCTACAATTGAAGAAAAAGGGTCAATCAAAGAATAAGCACAAGGCTCATGTGGCTACATGGAGCGATGAAGAAGGTTCCGATGAAGAGGAACAAGAAGTAGCAAACTTGTGCTTGATGGCATTCGGGGAAGATTCTAAAGTAACCTCTAACTCATCCGATTTTGATGATTTATCTTATGATGAGTTATTTGAGGAGTACAATGGGTTGGCTTCGGATTATGAGAAATTGTTTTTAAAATATAAAAATGATGTTTCAAAATTAAAAAATGAAAACAAACTCATATCCAAAACCAACAACGATCTTGAAAGTAAAATCAAAGATTTGCAAATCAAACTAGAAGAGTTTGAAAAGAAAAATTTAGATTTGCAAAATTTACTTTCAAAGATCAATGATGATCATCAAAAGAAAATTGATGATCTTAAAACTTCTTTTGATAAAGTTGGAACAAACATTTTGAAAAAGGTGGAAATTCAAAATCCAACTTTGTTAGAAAAAGTTTTAGAAACTACAATCATAGAGGTCCCCAAAGAACCTCTAATGGAAAATCATTAGAAGTATGTGGGTTCCTAAAGAACTCATTACTACTAAAGATAAAAATATCCTACACAAATGGATACCTAAGGGGACTAGGATTTTGGAACTAATGAATATGGACCCAAAAGAATTTGGGTACCAAAAATAAAAATTAATCTATGTTGTAGGGAAAGGAGCATTGCTACAAGGCACGGGAAAAAATTCAAACTCATGGTACCTTGATAGTGGATGCTCAAGACATATGACCGGAGACAAAAGCCGGTTCATTGAGCTTAACGCCAAAAATGGAGGAGAAGTGACTTTTGGAGATAATTCAAAAGGTCACATTGAAGGTATTGGTACAATAGGTATACCTCTTCCATACAAATTAAGAATGTTTTATATGTGAATGGATTAAAGCATAATCTATTGAGTATTAGTCAATTATGCGATAAAGGATTCAATGTCTTATTTGAAATTAATGGTTGTAAAGTCATTGACATTGCATCTAATCGGATTATGCTTGCTGGTCATAGAATAGGAAACATTTACATGGTGCATTTAGATTCTATTGATATGACTAATTTATGCCTAGTTGCTAAGGATGAGCATGATAGTTGGTTATGGCATAGGAGACTAGGTCATGCTAGTATGAGTGTTTTGCAACGGTTAATTCAAGGAGACTTAGTAAGATGGTTGCCTAAGCTTAAATTTGATAATGATAAAATCTGTGATGCTTGTGCTAAAGGAAAACAAAAACGAGTTTCTTTTAAATCTATTAATGATGTATCAACTAGTAGAGTATTACAATTGATCCATTTAGATCTTTTTGGGCCAACTAGAACTACTAGCTTGGGAGGAAAACAATATGCATTTGTCTTGGTAGATGACTATTCTAGATACACTTGGGTTCTATTCTTAAGTACTAAAGATGAAGCATTAGAAAATTTCATCACATTTTCAAAAATAATCCAAATGAAAAAGGTTACTCTATCACTAGTGTTAGAAGTGATCATGGAACTGAATTTGGATTTATTGAGTTTTGTAATTCTAATGGTATTAGCCATAATTTTTCAGCACCTAGAAACCCTCAACAAAATGGAGTTGTTGAGAGGAAAAATCGAACTTTAGAAGAAATGGCTAGAACCATGCTTTGTGAAAATAATTTGCCAAATATTTTTGGGCGGAAGCCACAAATACCGCTTGTTATGTTGTAAATCGAGTAATGATTAGGCCAATTTTAAAGAAAACTCCATATGAAATTCTCAAAAATAAAAAGCCTAACATTAGCTATTTCATCCTTTGGATGTAAATGTTTTGTTTTAAATAACGATA